ATTTCGAACAACATATTATATTATACATTGTATTGTAAATAATTATTATTGTATTATTAAAGGATTACAATAAAAGATAATATTAAAAAGCTATGCAATGTAATTGTTAATTATTTTATTGTATTTCGCGAATATCATAATGCAATATGATTTTAGCGAAATATAATAAAATAATTAAAGAAAAAAAGAGAGATATTAAAATAATATCTATAAAATTAAAAAATAAATTTAAATCATACTTACCTGCAAAAACGGACTAAATTTATTAGTAACTCGTTTTTTTACTAGGGAGTATACTTACAAAGAAAAGAGGACCGCTATTAAAAATTGGCGGGGATGGTGGAGGGCCTCTAAGGCTGATTCATTTTTATTCATATAAATTTTCTTCACAATTTTAAATTAAATGTAGTTTGCTTATACAATTAGAAGAGTTTCAACTTTATTCAAATTGCAAATTGTTAATATAATTATAAGAATAAGAATGGGGAAGACTACAATGCATTCTGGTGTTACACTATGAAACTAAATTGCATTCCAACAAGTACTTTATACAGCTGTTAGCGCTACGTCATTCTTTCTTTATTATTAGGTGTAAAAGAAAGATAGAATAACACAACAGCATTAATAGCGTCTTCCCGAACATACTTTCTGTAAACTAGGAAAACATCCCTGTAATCTTTCAACCATGCTTCCACCATGCGCGATTGGAGCGCGTTGAGCATGTGGAGCGTGCGACACGAACTAACCTATTGTATTAAATGTATTCGAGCCAGAGAAGGAAATAATCTCAAACGTGTTCTATATTGTCGTTTATAGAATTGTGTAGAATTAAATAAATAAATAAATATATATATATATACATATATATATATATATATACCTGTTTTTTTATAACTACGCTTTTTTTAAATCAATATTCATTACGTGGCCCGTGTTGTCAAACAAGGATACTTTCAATTAGTATTAAATACGAAAAATTTTAATACAAATGGATTTACAGTACAAGTATGTATATCTTATTTTTTTAAAATAAATTACAGAATATATGATTAGTGAAAATCTCATATCCTTTTTCTATAAGTACAAAAAAATAATTTTTTTTTGGCAAGAAAATATCTAATTAACTTGTAAAATTTGTAGGATTGAACTATAATGTTTATTTTGTTTTGAATGATGCTTTAATATATCCATTTTAATATTTTTTTTTAGAACGATCCATCCTGTGAAATATTTGCAGGATCATCTGGTAAATATTGTATACATATTGAATAAATTAAGATATAAATATAACAGAATTTTTCTATAAAATATCTGGCATTTGTAGGAACAAAATGTTCGGACAGATGGTAGGAAATTTTTGTCATTTCGCCCAGTAAGTGTAAATGTTTCATCAATTGTTCAGGCAGACAGTTCAGCGATATTTAAATTAGGTGACACAACTGCAGTTTGTGGTATTAAAGCTGTAAGTATGGTTACAACATTGTTTATATATGGATGCTTTCCATTTCTATTAGTACAAATTCTACTAGTTTAAATTAATTTTAATCTTTGTTTAACTTATTCTTCATCTTTTTTTGAAAAGTCTACAAATTGGAAGATAAAGAGATAATATAAGTTAAACTGAGATTAAAGTTAATCTAAATTGGAAAAAAACAAGTATTAGCATCACAAGATGACATAAATGTCATTCTATCTTTTCTGAGATTCTATAAGTAACAAAGGATGCTTTCCATTCAATGATATAAGTCGACACAAATGTTATTCTGTAATATCTTTCTTGACATATCACGAGTAAAAACAAAAAAGGAACATCTATTTGTATCATCAAATGGAAACTCTGCATTTTTATATCTCTTCAAATATATATACTAGCTTGATCAAAAAGTTTTCGGAATTCATTCAGAAAATTCAAAATACAAGTTTATTCATCAAAAGTGATATTGTCCCCTTCAAAGTACTTTCCAGCGACTGCAACGCACTTATGCCAGCGCTTGATCCAGCTCCCGAAACATTTCTGGAACTCTATTATTGGTATAGCCATCAGAGCCGTCTTTGATTTTTCCATTACCTCCTTTCGGCTGTTAAAACGCGTTCCCCGCAGGTTTTTTGACTCGATCGAACAGAAAAAAATCGCAGGGAGCCATATCGGGTGAATTCGATGGCTGTTTGATGGTATTCGTTGTTGCAAACTCGTTGTTGCAAATTCAACTCCATTTTTAAAACTGTAAAAGATCGAAACACGCGCAGAGGTAGATGTACTCAAGACGGCGTAATTTTTACAAATGTCAAGCTATGGCGATAAAATTTGATGGCAATGTCAATGATAGATGTGGCAACCTAGCCAAAAAAAAAAACTCAAATCAGCTGACTCAGAGCATCACCTGGTGGTCTCTTCCGGAAACTTTTTGATCAAGCTGGTATATATATATATATATATATATAGAGGCAGAGTTTGATGTTTTTTAAATAATTTATATAGTATTTTATAACAAACTATCTTTATTTTTCTTTATTTATTTTAACTGAAAGTTGCTTTATTTCACTGATAATATGATTCACATCGTGTTATTTTAGGAATTAGCGGCACCGAAAGCAGACACTCCGGATCATGGTTACATAGTACCAAATGTGGAATTATCTCCTCTCTGTTCTTCTAAGTTTCGTCCAGGCCCACCGAGCGAACAGGCGCAGGTGCTCTCTAAGTTCATAGATATTATTTTGAGTAACTCAGCGGCACTTGACTTAAAAGATCTTTGCATCTGTAAAAGTAAATTAGTATGGGTATTATATTGTGATATCCTGTGTCTGAATTACAATGGCTCAGTTATAGATGCTTGTACTGGAGCATTGATGGCAGCTCTTAAAACGTGTACGTCACATGTGTACATACTGCTATAATATGTAATAATATCTGTGTTCAATTTTTTTTTATATTTCATAAAAGAATTTATCTTGCAGTGACCTTACCTGAGGTGAATTACACTAAAGAGACAGCACTAACTATCGTAAATCCGAAAAATAGAAAGAAGTTTATTGTAAGAACATTACCAATTTCTACATCGTTCGCAGTATTTGAAAAGTCAGTTTTGGTTCAGTGTAATAGATATTTACATGTAATTCATATTTGATTAATCTCTTTATTTGCAGACGATTATTAGTAGCTGATCCAACGGATGATGAGGAAGATTTGTCATCAGGAAAATTTTCTATTGTGATGGATGATGAGGAAAAAATTTGTTATGTACATAAACCTGGTGTGTAGTATATATTAAAATACAGTGTAATATTTGTATTTTTAATGGGCTTTGCATAATTTAATAGATTTAATAGTTATTGAATTATATGTCACATGTAACAATGATCATAAATTTAATATAGGTGGAATTCCAATCTCTCAGAATTTACTTTCCAAAGGATTGGAAATGGCGAAAACAAGAGCAAAGTTAGTTCGATCGGTAATCAACGCCGCTATTTCAACACTGAATGTAAAAAATGAGGAAATAAATACTTGAATATATTTCTTTAAATAAAATATTGTATTATTATATATATCATATTTTCATACATATATTTGATATGTAATAAGATTGATGCAATTATTTTATAAGTATATATATATATTATTATAAATTTTTGAAATTGGACTGTATGGGATTTGAAAACAACAAATTAAATGTTAACATACATAGAATAGTTAATGTTATTTATTTTTACACACTCGTGGCACATTAAACATCTAAATAAATAAAAGTTTATAAAAATATCATTGACAAGTATACTAACAAGTAAAAGATAATCATATTGAGATATCAGTCTTCCATTTAGAATATATTAATACAATACACATTATTAGTTTAAAAATACGTTATGTTTCTGCATTAACTCGACATAAATGTGAATGTAACTTAATACAAAGTTAACATGACATCTTCTTAAAGAGTTTTATAAATTCTTCTAATGATATTTCTCCATCGCCATCTTCATCTACCTGATTGATCATATCAAATATTTCTTCATCAGTCAACTCTTCTTCCAATTCCATCGCAACTCGTTTGATATTTTTAAAGGATATTTTTCCTGTTTTATCATCATCGAAAAGTCGGAATGCCCTTATTATTTCGCTTTGGCTTTCTTCTACATCTGTCATTTTAATTAACATTATTTTCATGAATTCTTCATAAGATAACGAGTTAGGACATTCTGGTGTGATATCAGCTACGAGTGTCTGTAACTCTTTCACTGTCGGTTCATATCCTAAGGCTCTAAGAACAACTTTAAGATCCTTGATACCAATTTTTCCGGTGCCATCCGGATCGAATAGATCAAATGCTTCCTTTATGTCAGATTTCTGTTTTTCGGTTAATTCAAATTTTATCATATTCTTCTTGTGAGCTTGTTTCTTCGATGTGGACGCCTATGGAAAAAAATAGAATTAATCAAATAATTCAGTAGACATAATTGTGTTCCAAAGCAATTGAGACTCAAAATTTATATAATTGGAAGATATATTTAAAATTCATACACATACAAATATTAGGCAATTATTGACATAAGTGAAACAGCATTAAAGATACAATCGAGCCTGGAACTTGTATTATTAAATACAAGTTCCAGGCTCGATTGTATCTTTAATGCTATTTCATTTATGTCAATAACAATGTAGATGAATCTTAATCTCAGTTTAACTTACTTTCCACAGAATACGAACCAATAGCATTACATCACATAATTATAATTTTCTACTCAATAATATAAATGGCATAATACATATGTTGTACAATATAATTATATAATTACATAATAATTATATTATTAAATAGGAAATTATAACATAAATATTACTGTTTATGTTCTCCAGGTTTTTTTCTTCTAGTTCTAAGAACTAGAAAAAGATAAAGAGTAAATTAAACTAAGATTTAAAATTAACATTGACAGAAACAAGTCTTATCTATGTAGTGGTCTCTAGTTCAATTCATTATTGAAAAATTGTTGAAAAAATTATTAAGAGTTGTTGAAAATGTTAGCCTCAAAATAAACGAGCATACATGTAAGATGATTAAATTGTACAGTTTCCTCAAACTACCAAAATAAAAATAATTTTAATATTTTAGCAAGCTAGACAAAATTTTCGATTTAAAATAATTTTAAGAATAGAATTAAAAAGATTGCAATACAAATGTGTTAAATCAAAATCAAACTAATTACCATGCTCATCAACTTATTCTTCGCAAACGTTACAAATGAATATATCTCCTATCCACAATTCGTACACTCTGAATTGTTTCTAATACTAATGTCGTTGCGAGACTGCCATCCTCAATGGACTTATACCTTGTACCCATAAATATTACTTTCATTAGTCATTATAGGGAAGGAACTTAGTTTGATCGATATACAACGTAGTTGTTACAGGTATTTCGAAACTGACAGCGCCGGTTTACGTAACAATGAAAAACCTTTCATAACAGCTGAGCAATTAGTAGCGGGCAGACGCGTATGAACAGAATGATTCGGGCAAAAGCACAAAATTGCACGAGATTAAATATACATGGTGTGTGCCTTCCAACAAGCGACACAGTACAACACCAGTGATCATTTCATCTTTGTTTAACATTGGCAAACAACAAGGATGTAATGATCAAGTGCGTTACACGGTGTTAGCTGTATATCATTTGTTGGAAGGTACACTATAATTATCCAGGAAAACTGCCTCTATTCTGATTTCGATAAAATTAGGCTTATTCGATGCGTTTGTACATAAAATGAAAAATCTGGCAGAAAAAAGTGCGGGACTACCCTATCAAAGAGAAATCTGAGAATGGACACCCCGACCTTTTTTGTGTACCATAAACCTCATAGGATAATGTTCACGTTTTTGTGGTTTTTTTCCATACTATTATTAGACAAAGATGAATAATATACAATATATAATTTATATATATAATATATATATGTAATATAATTATATTATATGAATTATGTATATTTTTCATCGGTAGTAATTTGTTGACTATTATTTGTTATTATTAAATTAGTTTTTTGTGCTTTTATTTCTTAAAATTTTATTTGCTTTTTTATTTGCTTTAATTTTTTAAAAAATTAAATTTATTTTTTTATTTTTTGAAGCTCGAAGTACGTAAATCGAGCTATTTCTGGAATATTAATTATAAGAGTAGAAAAATAATGTAGATGATGTAAAAATATCAATGCGAAATATTTAATTTCTAGTCGAGTAAATAGGTACTCGATGTTCATTTCGTTTAAGCGAGGAGCACAGACTTTTACATAATGCATAACACATAAGGCATAAGAAATCTAACCAATCAGAGTTCTTTATTTCACGAAAAAGAAGGAAACGAAGGACTTTGATATTTTGGTACGTTTTCTTATGCATTACGTGTTACGCGTTGTAAGAGTCTGGGTTCTCTGTTTTATCCTTTTTATTGATGAAAAGTCGGCTGTAGGAATAAAATTTACCTCCATCACTCGTTTTTTACTAATCAGCGTTCGGTTTCAAAGCGCTGTTGCGCGTATGAGGATCCGTTTATTCCACCGTCTCCACTCTCCTGTCCACCGTGGTCCGACGAGTAGTCTGATACGAGCTTTATGTTTAACTTAGTTTAGCTGTGTGTAAACGTAGAAAGAAAGAAGATAAAGTTGTTTATATGATTTATACGCATATTCATACAAACGCGTTGGCAAACAAGCGTATTTTTTGCCTGAACTTGTAAATTTTAATTGAACGTAAGTTTGTAAAGAAAGAAAAATTCAAGTAACATAATTTTGAAGGAGCGTGTCTAGGTTAGATTAACTTGTGAAACTTCAATATGTATGTAATTAATTTTATCTTTATTAAGTTTATCTTATTGAAATATTCTATACATAAAATCAAGTATCTTAACTTTTATTTTTATCAGTTACATAATATAAATAATACAGTTAAATAAAATAACTTTGAAAAAAGTTTGCGATTTTATATATACGGGATGTTCCGAATTTAAATAGTCAAACTTTGGAAGCGTATAAGGGATCGATAAATTAATAAGAAAAAAAATCTTATCTCTAAAATTCTTTAAAGATATGATATCTAAATAATTTTAGAGATATGCTCGTTCTTACTTCATTTTGGAAAAAATTGGTCACTTACATTCGGAACACTCTATATATATTTTATTAAATAGCATTTAAGTAATTAAGCAAGATTCTTGTGTATTAGAACATGGTGACAGGACCAACTGAACATGGAATACAAGCTGATGTTATATTCGTCATTGAAGGAACAGCCGTTAATGGCGCGTACCTTAATGACCTTAAAACAAATTATGTTATTCCAACATTGGAGTAAGTTTTAATATGTAACATACATTTATAAATCACTTCATAAATTAATTAAAAATAATCCTATCTTTGATTACATTTATATATTGCAAATATCAACTTTATTATAAGCATTAACTGCATTATACTAACTTTCTATGTTATGTACACAATAAGAATCTGTTTGTCAATTTTTGTGTTTTTTCTTTATCTATTATAGATATTTTAGTCAAGGTGGCATAGAAGATAGGGAATACGTTGCTGAGGTATATGATATAATATACAGTTATATTTCTTAATTTATGGAAATTAATTAAGTTACAATTTATTTTATTGCAATCGAAATTTTAACAGAACAGCACGACATTATATGGAATAGTCGTTTATCACGCTGCTGATTGCTTACCATCTCCGTGCACTGAGACTCTAGGACCTTATTCAAATCCTCACAAGCTACTGATGGTTCTAGACAAGCTTGAGTACAGAACACATAATATCTAATAATATCTAATATCATAATATTTTTCATAAATAAACCTTTTATAATTAACATTGCTATTTTAAAAATTGTATATCCTTTTTATTAATTTATTTTATCAATAATAATATTTCATCTAGAATGGTTGGTGGAAAGGGAGAATCTTTTGCAAACATAGGCGAAGGTCTTGCAACAGGATTATTATGTTTTGAAGACTTGCAGCTGAGACGAGAGCCAAATACAGCTTCACAAAAACATTGTATTTTAATATGTAATTCGCCCCCATATCAAACCATGATTCAAGAAACTTACAAATTCGCTGGTCATACCATTGAACAATTAGCTACTATTTATCAAGAGGTGAGTGACAAAATGTAAATGCGTAATAAGGAGGTGATCATCATGTATGTGCGTATATACTATATATATGTGTGTGTAATTTTTCAGAGGAATATTAATATTTCTATATTATCACCAAGAAAAATTCCGGCATTGTATAAATTATTTGAAAAAGCTGGCGGTGATTTACAGTCCTCGCAAACAAAGAATTACGCCAAGGATCCACGGCATTTAGTACTTCTGCGAAATTACAATTTAAAGGAACGACCAGTCAGTCCCCAAATGGGTGGTAATGTTCACAATACCGCGGCTACCGCTGCACAAATACCCTTAAGTCCACTGCAGAGTAACGACAGTCCTAACACTAATCAAGTGCAGCAGAATATCGCTCCGCCAAATCAGCAACAGGGTCCTCCTTTCAGAAACCAAGCCCCTCCTCAGAATATCACCTCTGTGCATCAAACTGTTACGCCGTCCATGGCGGCACCAATGAATACCGCCCGACCGCCTTACAATCCTCAGATAGCCGCACCACCAAATTATCATCCACCGGGAGTAAACATAGCCACAAGACCCAGATGGATGCGACCATTCATAGCACCGGGTGCAACCGCGCCTGCAAATACACAAGGCAGTGCGCTAATAGCACAATTAACACAACCGCCTTCATCGTTAGGACTTAATGTAGCTGCGTTTAATCAACGATTAGATGGTAAAAGCATTGACACATTTGCAGTCTTTAATCTTACCTTTTGTTCTTTATGCTGTGTTTAGACATACAAAATTCTGTAGTTTACATTTTATTTATAGATAACTTACGTTCTAGATAACCTACATTATTTTACAGTGGCTGGCAATAATGTTATGGCAGCTAATCAGCAACAGCAACAGCAGCAACTCACGCAGCAACAGCAACAACTGCGCTTGACGATGCAGTTGCTCACAGTCAACCAGGATCGCAGCTTACTGCTTCTTGTATTAGCCAGTCTGTACCTACTCAAGTCTCACAAACTGTTACTGCTTCACAGCAAGCACCGGTCTCAGTATCTTCTATTACGCAACAGATTACTCACTCTCAGGCACAAGTAATCAAATTACATTATTATATTTATATAAACTTTATAAATAAACAAAAGCATAAAGGATTAAAACGTTGCAATAGAGTGGTATATAGAATAAAGTAAAAATTAGAATGAGATAAAAATATATAATTTATAGTTTATTAAACACTGTGAATCGGGGAAAAAGCTATCTTGAGTCACAAAGGATTGTGAAAAATAAATAATAAAATATTGATTCTATAATTTTTCAGGGCAATGTATCTACTGGTACTGTACAAAATCAACAACTTGTGCCGCGCGAGCGCCAAAACATCTGGCAAGGAATCGTAGAATGGATCGAAAAGGCCAAAAATCCAACAGATGCGCAAAAGCAAACGAGACATGTCCCGTGTCAAGTTTCCGCTAATGCGAAAGACGGAGATCCGGAATTGTAAATGATTGTTTTCCACTGTTAACATAACTTTTTCGTACTTTTATTTTACACGATATTTGCTTTTCAGGAAAGCAGATACATGGCCGCCTAAATTGATAATGCAATTGATGCCGAAACAATTGATAGGAAGTATTGGTGGTACTTATCTGAAGAATTCTAAATCTGTTGTATTTCATCCGACGCCATGTGAAGCATTAGAATCCTTAACAAAAATGATGACAGCTGGATTTGTAAGTGTATTTATTATGCTATGCATATATACGTGTTTTTTATTTTGGCTGCACGAATAAATGCTACGAATAATATATCTGCGACAATGTTTATAATAATACTCAAAATTCAATATATTTCAGGCAGGCTGTGTTCACTTCACTTCTGCGTCATCAAGTCCAGCTTGTGAAATAAAAGTACTTATACTTTTGTATACTACAGACAAAAAAACGTATTTAGGTTTTATTCCAAACGATCAAACAGCTTTTGTAGATCGTCTTCGCAAGGTTATTCAACAACAGAAAACGTCTCAAAACGCTTCTGTAAGACAGGTAAGTAATAAAATTTACTTATACGCGAAATTGATAAAAAGAAAATAATCAGAGAGTAACTCTTATAACTTTGTTAGGCTAATCCTGGACCAGGTAATACGATTCCCGCACCCATGTCTACTACAGGTACACAGGGGGGTATTCTTATGTCCCAAACAAATACGATGGCAATGGGAGGTGGTCAAATAACACAGAATGTCGTGTCCACCGCTCCTCCACAAACTTTAACTTCGACCAGCGGTCCCCAAATGAATATGCAGGTAATACAATGTGCTAGCATTTCTATAGAATAGAATAATAATTATATACTGGTTAGATACATTTAGAAAATGTTACATGCGTTTACAGAATAGCGGAATTAATGGCCCACAAGCAAATACTGGTGCCGGAGGCATGATTGGCCAACAGAGACCTCCTTATGATGATATAGAAATCGCCAGACATCAAAATTTGCTAAAGATTCAACATCTAAGACAAACGTTAGAGGCTGCTCAACAACAAGAGGCACAGTATAAGTCTCAATTGGAAGTAAATGTAAATATATTTTTTTTTTGTATTTAACAGAAAGTAATATTTAAAATTAGAAATTTTTATGGTTTCGATATTTTTTGTCCAGATTCAACAAAACCTAGAAGTGGCACAACAGCAAGAGATGCAGTATAAGCAACAACTTGAGGTAAACGAGTTTTAATTTATTAATAAATATATTTTTAGTATCGTAAACAATTATTTTCACGCATGTACAGGCGCAACAAGCACAGAGAGGCCTCAATCCGGCCGCAATGGCTAATCAACAGGCGAACTCTCAACGATTGATGCGTCCAGTCTCCACTAACAATCTTGGTCTCAGACATTTATTACAACAGGTGAGAATTTATGATAACTTGAAAAAACTGAGCTGTATTTGTATTAATATTAGGTGTTGGAATTAATTCGTAGCGTTTTACAAGTGATGGGAAGTACTTTCATTAATGTATTTTTTAATGCTCATGTGAAATAAATAACATTCTTTCATTAAAAAACGCTACGAATTAATTCCAACACCTAATATTATAGATATGACAAAAATAAAGATATGTAAAACAAACATTTATAATATAAATTGCAATTAATGTTACAGCCGCAACCTCAATATAGCGTTCGGCAAGTATTCGGAGTACAACAGCAAATGGTAGGTCCGAGAGGGCAAATAGCAACGAGACCAATGGCTCCCGGTAATGCACAAAATCAGCAGTTCGAAGATGTGTCGAATTATGACTTTCTTGGTTAAGCATCGCAAGTAAGAGTTTTCTTCTTAATTTTATTTTTTTTAATTTTACTATGTAGTATATTAGTATACATGCACACTCGCCATGTGTGCACTTGCACGTATCCATGCATAAGTAAAAGGAAATATAGGAGAGCATAATAATTTTAATTTTATATATTTATGAGAATAAATAATACTTGTACATAGGAAGAAATACATGCCCAAAATACGTATATAAAGTTATAAATCAAGGTGTCCACGTTTTTCAACTATTTGTTGAAAAATTTCTGGATATTTTTGGCAACATTAATATTAGATGCGCTTTCTCCTTTTGTTGTTACGTAGCCTTCCCTCCCCTCCCTCTCTCCCTAGAAATGCTTTTTAACTTTTAAAGCTTTATTAACAAACTCCAGATTAATGGAATATTCTTCGTTTTCTTTCAATTCGTTACAAATTTTTTTAATCTTCTTTAATTACATTGTTAATAGGATCTCTACTTGTTACTGTTGTCATATTCGAAATGTCGAGTGGTTTATATTTTCTTAATTATTAGGTGGTCATGGACTGCTTTGTAGAAATTGAAAAGCTTATAGCAATTCTTTTCCATTCATTTTTTCTTATGATCCGGATTATTGTTGCTTGATTTAACTTCTGCAAAATACAATAGCTTCTCTCTATTTTCGAATCAATTCAAGATTTGATTCTAGAGAAATTAAGTTTCTCTTTAATGTAATTATTCACATTTATTCGGAATGATTTAATTTAAATTATATAATAAAGAAATTGCTAACTATAAACAATTTTATGAGCAATGTTTAGTAACACATACCTTGAAAAATTCCGGAAAAATTCTAAATAGTTTTATGAATAACGATATAAATAGCAAGTTACACGCTTTGAAGTTGCAATTTTTAACAAGTAATAACATTATATTTAATATTATATTTTATAATATATTTTTTTATGTAATAATACTAAAATAAAATATACACATATATGCAATAAAATATAATATACATATACATTATATATTATTTAATATTATATATATATATATATAATATTTATTTAAAAAATGAGTTTATTAAAGAAGGACTAAATAAGTCTAAATTTCAATTTATCTAATTTAGTTAATCTATTTAAATGCTTCTTATATTACCCATACAAAATTTTTGTAAAAAAATAAAAAAAAAGTTCTTGGCCTTTCCTATCACGGTTTCCTTCAAATTAGCGGTAAAATTCCTAAATATGACCATTTATATACATCATATTTTACATGTCCAAACGTGTACAATGTTTCAATCTAAGCACCTTACCAATGCATTTAGTTTTATTAAAAAATAGTATATTATTTCAATATTATTATATTTCGTTTCATAAAATAACTCAGAAGATATAAAAGTTTGAGGATTATTCAATTACGATAAATAATGGAAAACATGGTTGCTGTAACAGAACCTCTTACTTTTTTTACCTAATAATAAAAAACTGTACAAAAAATTATTATCTCTAAAGAGATGATAATTGACGGAATTAATACAATTGAATGAAGTGTGTTGTATGGCCATCCCGATAAATTGGATCATCCGTGATGGAGGCGCGACACAGAGGACACGATCGTTCTCTGTCGAGCCAGGTCGAGACGCATGTCTCACAAAAAATATGTTTACAATGAAGTTTAACTGGTGTAGTATATTCTTCATGGCAAATGGCACATATACCGCCGGATGCAATCAGTTGTTCCTTCGATGGAGATACTCCAAGACTCTATATATAAGAAAGACATTATTACACAATATTATTGTTATAGTGTGACAATTTTAAGCTTCAATTCATAATCATATTTCCTTCCGTTTACAATCTGGGTTTTTTTATGCCCAATCTAAGTTCGTTTTCCAGATTTTTAAAAAATATGAAAAAATTTAATCTCTAATTTAATCTCTATTACATTATCAAATTGTTTTCTCGATTATTTTAGGAGGAATCGAACTTCGTTCTCTTTTATTTCGGAGAAATTTGAGAATAAAATTTTGCTTGTGTAAAAAGACCTAAATTGTAGACGGAGAGATATATTCATGTGTAAAGATTATGCGTACCACATTTTGGAATAGTTTCCACGCAGCGGTGCGAAATAGTTTTAGACGTGACAGCAGATCGTTACCCTTGCTCATTGTATACATTATCGAGAAGAAAATTCCCACGATTTTCTCTTGACCTTGATACGTTTCAAGCAGATAGTATAACCACGGCTGAACAGGTGCGACGCATCGATAAAGTTGCGACGTCGCTTCTACCATAAGATAATATTTTCCCTGAAATTTTATTCATTTCTATCTTATATATCATCTATGTTATATAATATCCAACACAAATTGAAATAATGAATGAATATTTACCCGATTCTGGAATGCCAGTAATCGTACCGGTAGACAAGTCAAAAGAACTTTGCAAATGATAGTGATGAGTTTAAGGAAGAAGTCCATCACTGTGACGTAACAAAGTAATTCCCAGATCGTGAGTGGTTCAGCATAGGGAACGAGAGTGTACAAATTAAACGTGTATACGACGAACACAATGCACGCAGTGATGTAGCATAGAATCAGCATGAGCAATGACCAACTCCGGTTGTGCTGTTTAGCGATTTCACGTTTGAGACCATTATTAGCGTGAAAGAACGTAATAAGTAGTACAACAAACGTGATTATTCCGGCTCGATGATCATAGAGACCCTTGGCGAGAAGAATGGTTACAAAAGGAACGTATTGTTGAAGTTGTTTCAGCATTGCCCGAGCTTCTGGACCTATCTGGACGTTGCCATTGACGGTATTTTCCGAGGCATTATTATTGTGGTTTTCGACTACTTCATTCGCGGTTTCATGCGTGTTATTTGAAAAATTGTTTGGCATTGTTGATGCTATGTGATGATGATGATGGTGATGGTGGTGATTGTGCACAGATTCATCATGAGAATTGGTATCATTTACAGGATCCTCTAAATTGATTACGTAGCTATCGCTTGGTAACGCAACTGGATGGACTTGATTCCGGAGTCCATGAATGGCTAGGAGCGACGTCAACGATAAGTTAGGCTGTGACAAAAAGAAAATGATTGACTAAATATGTTCCTTTGAAACTTACGTCGGCAATTGGGTTTTTTAAACACCATCAATATTTTGATTGTGCATTTTAACAAACATAAATTAAAAAATGGACTCTCAAAATTAAAAACAAAGGAGAATCAAACAAGTAATGAGAATTAATAGTCCACGGTTAATAGTCCACAAAAAGATCATATAAAAACTTTTTTTTATACGTGCGAATGCTGAAAGCATATTTTATAATATATTCTTAATCTTATTACATAAATTTAAATTGATGCTGATTAAATGTAATCTTAAGCTTCAAGATGTATTCTTGGTCTGTTTTTAGATTTATGCGTTCAAATTTGGTAATTTGTTAGTAACTCAATCTTGACACATTGAGAATGAACATAGTAAGAAAAATTTGTATCGAATTGTGTGCCGAGGATGATTCCACATAGAATCGAAACGTTCAATTAATTGTAAAGCGATCATATTTTCACAATAAATATGTATTAAAACAGTTTTTTTGTGACTTCTTTGTGCACTATTAACTGCGCTGTACTCTCATTAGCTTTGTTTGATTCTCCTTAGCAAATAAATTTTAATCTATAAAAAATAAATCTGTAAAATACAATTCGACTATTTATGATGGTAAAATTCATCAAAGAAGTATATCAGATTATTTTTTCAGATTTTTATACATATAATCCGGAATAATAAAAAATTTGCTGTGTTTCTCAAAGACCCCTATTGCGAAGGATTAATATTGACAATCCTGATGTTACATACCGCTGCCTGTATAAGAGGACGAATAGTGGAGGAGATGTTTCCCGCGAATATTCTTGAACGTTCTGCCGTTCTGACACCAAAGTTAAATGCCGTTTCAGGGCTTATACTCGCCAATGTGTACCTAGTACTACTTGGCGAGTCCTGAACTTGTCTATTTTCATTCGATGTTGATATAAGTGGCATCGTTGGGTCACAATTGGGTCCGCTTGTCGTCTCTTCTGTCGGTCTATTCTCAGCCATGTTTTATCTAAACATTTTTATATTCAAACATTTTTATCAATTTGTGGATATATGATATCAACGTTCAATAATCTGTTAAGTCCCCTTATTACGTCGTTATACGTATAACGTGCGATATTTTCGTAAGATGTTTTTAATATCAATATAAACAAAGCAATATAGAATGTTGCGTAATATAATGTACATTATTAACTTAAAATAGCATATGTATTAGTAAATATCTTATTTAGAACACTACTTGATTTTTTAGGACACTGTTTAGTTTTTGATGAAATGTTTGTTCAATGCTTCTTTGCGTAAGAACGAAGGCTTGAAAAGTCAAAATAATAAAATCATTAATTAACTGTTAAAATTGACGTATTTCAGAATGTTTAACAAAATTAAGAAATCTGTTGTACCGACGAAATATATGTACGAACACGTGACTAAAAGTAATACGCAAAATATGAAATCTTGCATATAATTATATTATATTGGATCATTTAAAAAGTATCCGCGGTTTTTTTCATTCAAACATTGAACAAAAAACCGCGGATACTTTTTAAATGACCTAATATATTTAATAATGATCTCACTGTGCGGAGAAAACAGATGTATGAAGCTTTGCGAAAAGTTAAAAATTCATTTTAGAGTTGCACTTTTAAAGAAAAGTATCTAAATATATTCTTTTTAACTGAACTCCTTGCAGTTAAAAAAAACAGGCTTATTACGTTTTTTTAAAACGAAGTGAGTTATAAAAATAAACAAATTCACTAGGTGTTGACCAATAAAGTTATAAATATTTTGTAAATTTGCTCACTTATGTAATTATTAAGTTTCAAGAACCATAATAAACTCTCAGATTTCTTTTCTTGCTTTTAGCGAACAGCAAGATTGTTATTATTATCGTATTTGTATTTAAATTGTGGATTTCTATCCTTTCTATACAAATATGGCTCTATAATACTCGTTTCTATCAATGTAGATTAACTTTAATTTTGATTTAATTAATTACTTTTCACCTTTTTCTGGAATTAAAAAGTTAATTGAATCGAGATTGAAATTAAATTACACTGATAAGAAACAGACATAAATCTTCTTTCAAAACTTATAACTGGCTTTATTTTTTTGTTATTTTTACA